CTAATAAGCAGGTTGCTCATTTCCAAACCCTGTAGCAGATTAGAATCATCAGGCGTGCACTGTGTGTAAAGGGTGTGCTGTGGGCGGAATTGTGCCATTCATCCCCCTTCCCAATTTATACGTTGAAACCCTAACCCCCGATGTGATGATAGTGGAGATGGAAACTTGGGAGACACTTAGGTTTAGTTGAGGTCATAAGTGTGGGACCTGGGGCCTCCCTAGAGGCACAGTGGGTTAAGACGCAACCTATGAAGCTGTCCACGGCTGCTGCAGCATGAGTTTGATCCCTGGCCAGGGAGCTACCCACATGGCACAGCAGACCTCATGATTTGCACCTTGCTCCCCTCGGCAGTGTATTTCAGTCAGTCTGCCTGTTCTGTTCCCCACTCTGTCTCTGGTGAATCTCTCACCTCCCCCCACCCTCCTCTGGCCTGTACCCCAGTTCTGACATGCATAAATAAATCTTAAAAAAAAAAAAAGTGTGGGGCCCTCGTAATGGGATTAGTGTCCCATCAGACAGACACCAGACAGCTTTCTCTCCCACTCTACCCCCATGGGAGGACATGGTGTGAGAGGTTCCTCTCTCCACATCCAGAAGAGAGCTTTCTGGCCCTTTGATTTTGAACTTCTCAAGAACTGTGAGAAGGTATCCCTTCTGTTTACACCACCCAGTCTGTGGCATTTGTTAATGGCATCCTGGGCTGACTACATGGAAAAAGGGTAGCACTTAGCTTAACAGTGAAGGAGGAGTAAACAAATCACAGATCACACAAGCACATTGTTGGTAATTAAAGAGCACCAGTAAGTCCTGAGACTTCCTAGGTCATAACACAGTATATAATAAATTATTTTCATCATAATGATTGATCATCAAGAAAGGGTTGATTAAAAAGTTTTAATTCCGCGTTAGAAAATTTTGCATCACAATAATGCAAATTAGTCATTGTTTGAAAGTTTAATCAAATTTTCTGTTATCCAGAATGACTCATTTCTCATGATTTCCAGACGCCTTTTTGCATTAATATAGCTTATTTTTCAAAGCGAGAAGGTAAAGGTATATTTCTACTTTCTCCTGAAATTATATTTGAGAAAAGATGTAAGACTTGGGTCTTCTTTAAAATCAGGAACAAATGCGATGCCTAAGTTTTCCAAATGTCTTAAAGGGTTGGAGGCAGGCATATAGAGCTGTTCTGTCCAGGTCCCTTCACACATGGGCTCTAGGCCTAAACTTTCTAGCAGTAAAAAAAGGAAACTAATTGTAGCCCACTCTCAGGGCTAAGAGATTTCTTTTGTGAAGGTTTTTGGCCTTTGTGTATTTCATTTAGCTAATAGCTGAAAGAAGCACCATTTACAGTAATTAGAGCTTTTAACCTGGTTTCTGCTGTGCTCTTCTTGAGAGATTATCATCTCTGCCAGCTTCTTTTATTAGCACTAGTTTGTAACACCCTGTTTACTATTCTGAATGAATTTCTTAGATTATATAACCTTTGCCAAAAAGTCACATACTTGGAAAAATCTATCTCTGTTATGTAAGAAGAAATATAAAGATTAGGCAACTTATAAAACGTATAAATACTCAGACATTGCCAGACAACAAGACCAAAACCCACTTCTGCCTATTTGTATGGTGCTCCCTAGGGGAGCACTAATAGAGACACCATCAGTTCGATTTTCCCCCCCACCCTCTAAGTGGTGCTTAGGGCAAATGTTTAGTGGTCCCTTATATAACACATTGTCTGTTCACCGTGTAATTTATATATTAAGTAGCTGTTGACTTTCTTCTTGCACTTTGGACATCTCACTACCATTCTTGGAGATTGTAGGCTGAGGTAGAAATGAAAGTGGACCAGACTAGGATTCATGATGGTGACCGCAGGTCGTATGCTGATTTTGTCTCTGGTTAGCCCTGACGATGAGTAAGTCCCTTTTCTAGGTCTTAGAATCAACTGTCAAAGTGATCTCTAATCTCTTTCATTCTTTCTAGTTCTTCTTTGATATTTCTCAAATCAAATAGAAATAGAATTTACATTCTCAAATCAGTTACTCAGTCTTTGGGAGAAGGGTGAATTTGGGTTCCTTAGTGAACAGAATGACCTGGGGACTTGAAAAATGTGGATTTCTAAGTTTTAATCTCAAGGATTCTGATTCAGTTAGAGTATTTTTTATTTTTTTTAAAGATTTATTTATACAAGAACCGGGGTAGAGGCCAGATTCGCGGGTGGGTGAGAGGATTCACCAGAGACAGAGCAGGGAACAGAACAGGCAGGCTGACTGAAATACACTGCTGAGGGGAGCAGCGAGCGAGACTGGAGAGATCTGCCACACCATGTGGGATCCTCGCTGGCCTGCCGGTATGAAACCGGCGCTGCAGAGGCTGCGGACAGCTTCACAGCACTGCGCTCAACCGCCTGTGCCACCAGGGGAGGCCCTAGAGTATTTTTTAACAAGCATCCCAGTTGATTCTAATGCAGAATCACAACAGTACTGCCCTAGTTGATTCTAGATACCACACTGTATACTTTAAAAAAAAAAAAAAGGGGTTTATTTATGCATACAAGAACTGGGGTGTAGGCCAAGGGCCGGGGCTGGGGTGAAAGGATTCACCAAAGACATAGTGGGGAACAAAACAGGTGGATCAACTGAAATACACTGCTGAGGGGGCAGCAGGAGAGACAGGAGGGGTCTGCTGCATGTGGGTTCGCTTAGCTCCATGGCCCAGCTCTGGTGTAGAACTTGTGCTGCAGTGGCTGGCAGTAGCTTGATGGCGCTGTGTCTTTAAGCCCTGCGCCACCAGGGAGAGGCCCAGCACTGTGTACTTCTTAGGGTTGTATTGTGGAGAGACTTTCTCATAAGTTATAAATATGAATGCTTGTGTACTATAGTTGCAACAGAATTAGATAGTAAAAAAAAGAAAGGTGATAAGGTATCCTTTGAAATCGTTAAAGATTTTATTTTAAAATGCTTTGTGTGTTAAACGCCCTTCTGAGAACATTCTTCCATTCTGAGACACTTAGTCATTCTTTCCTTGGCTGATTTTGTTGTATTATAAAAAGGAGCACTTTTTAGCACTTGATTCTAGTTGTTAAAGCAGAGATGGTAGAAGTGGAGGAAAGTGGAGTCTCTTTTGGACAGTTTCTCAACTAGGAAGGCACTAGTTTGAGTCTTACTTATTTTTAAAGATTCATTTTTATTTATTTATGCATATAAGAACTGGGGATGTAGGCCAGAGGTGCAGGGGGGTGAGAAGATTCCCCAGAGACAGAGTGGGGAGCAGAACAGGCAGATTTACTGCTAAGGGGAGAAGCAGGCAAGACAGGAGAGGTCTACTGCGACATATGGGTTAGCTCCCTGGCGGGGATGAAACTCAGTCCATAAGCGTTGATAGCTCTGAGACTTAACCCCTAGGCCACCAGGGATGCCCCTTGAGTCTTATTTTTTCACCTAATCAAAAGAAAACTCTTTACTAGCATTTGTGTAAGCATATGTTACCACCACAGATATTAATTTCCTGTAGCCATTTCCCAGCTGTGTAAATTAGTGTTAGTATTATGTCTTTAGCTTAAATGTTTCTCTCTTCCTTTCTTTGGGAAGACTGAGGAGTTTCCCTTTCCTTGCAGTAAATGCCTTGCTTTTTCCCATTTTCTTCCTCATATTTCAAATAAACTTGTTCTATTTCCCGGGATATGGCTAGTGCATGTTGCTTGATGAAATCTGCTTGAACCAGAATCTCCTTATTATAGTAATGCAGGACTATTCTTTCTTTTTACTTGAGAATCTAAAAGCATTAACCAATAGGTAGTATTTAGATTTTACTCTTTAAATTGGTAACTTTGCATACAATTTTATTTTCATGGGACATTGCCTTGAACTTGGCTAAATCCTTAAAGCAGTTTTCCTTCTCTGGATTTAAGCCTAATGAGAGCCAGATACTTCTACATGATTCCTTCCATTTGTTACTTAGACAGGGATGGCAACTGTGCTGGGCTGCCACTCCCCTTCCATCCCCACCTCCTTCAGTTGATGTCACTAAATAGTCCCCACATTCTTTCTTGGTGAACCAGCTTTTCAGCAGCAGAGCTCCAGGCGTCCACTGCATTAGGCCACAGCAGATGCATCTGCAGATTGTCACTTAGTTTTATGTCTTATTTATAACGTTTAGTATTTTGAGAAATTATGATAGGAGAAATAGACAGCATCAGGTTTTCTTAACCTTTTATCAGGTAAAGTGTACTCCTCAGAACTATTGTCATAAAACACCAGCAACTTCTATTGGTAAGCATTTGTTTTGTGAAATATATGAGGGCTGCTTATTTCAACTTCTGCCATAGTTCTGGAAAAATTGTCTACTCAGTGCTTCTTTGGGAAGCTTTTAAACTAAAGCCCTTGCTGTCTTCCCCACCCCCCCACATTTATTTATTTACAACTTTTTCTGAAGGTGTATGTTAGGACCTAGGTCAGATACATACAGATTTACATCTATATTTCTGTAGATAGAGACACATATAAAATAGCCATGGCTTAAGGAACTAACAGTCTTTCTTTTTTTGTTAGTTTTAAAGATTTATTTATTTATGCATACAAGAGCTGGGGTACAGGCCAGAGGTGGGAGGCGGTGAGAGGATTCACCAAAGACAGAGCAGGGAACAGAACAGGCAGATTGACCGAAGTACACTACTGAGGGGAGCAGTGGGTGAGACAGGACGAGGATCGAACTCGTGCTGCAGAAGCTGCGGACAGCTTCACAGGCTGTGTCTTAACCCCTTGCGCCACCAGGGAGGCCCCAGCTGAGTCTTGAAGGAAGGATGAGCAGGCATTTCCCCAGCAGATGAGGAGGAAAATCATTCCAGATGGCAGAGATACCTGGATCCAGGCCAGGGCAGCTTGAATTGTAAAATCCATAAGGGTTGGAACTAAATGAGATTTAAAATAAAACTACTGGGTAGTATTAGATATGATAGTCCCTTATGTTATTTCAAATTCTTTTTAACCTTATTTTTCAGGAACCAGAATCATTTATGATAGAAAGTTTCTGTTGGATCGTCGCAATTCTCCCATGGCTCAGACCCCACCCTGCCATCTGCCCAACATCCCAGGAGTCACCAGCCCTGGCACCTTAATCGAAGACTCCAAAGTAGAAGTAAACAATTTGAACAACTTGAACAATCATGACAGGAAGCATGCAGTTGGTAAGAGAATGATGGTGTTGGGGACCAAGCGGGAGACCTTGGAGATCTGAAATCAATCTGCTGTAGGTTTAGGAAATGCTGATGCTTCAATTATAACTGGTATTCAATTACATGTTTCTGGGAGTCCCACCACTCTCTTACCAAGTGAAATGTTCTAGAAGCTCCAAGTTCTAAATCATAAGCAAATCTAATCTAGTGAGTGTTGGGAAGAATACAAAATCAGGGCCTCCATGGTGGCGCACGAGGTGAAGCACAGCACTGTGAAGCTTCCCGGCCAGTCAGGGAGCTACCCACATGATGCAGCAGACCTTTCCTGTCTCACCCACTGCTCTCCACAGCAGTGCGTTTCAGTAGATCTGCCTGTTCTGCTCCCCACTCTGTCTCTGGTGAGTCCTCTCACCCCCTGCACCTCTGGCCTGTACCGCAGTTCTTGTGTGCATAAAGAAATAAATCTTTAAAAAAATAAAAATGCAAAATCAGGGAATCAAGATGATTCCTTGAACCTGTGCATTATCAGATTAGGATGACACACAAAACAAAATGGAATTTAATAGACCCCAAACACACTTTTAGAAATGAATCCTCTGTGTCTGGAAGCAGAGAGGGAGGTAGAAATGGCCAGCTTCTGAAGTGCACCTTGGTTGGCTCATTGTGATCCCTGTACCTGAGCTAGCACTCTGTCTTCTCAAATTCCGAATGAGTTTTTAATGGACACAGTGTCATTCCAGAGCGGGGCCAAAGTTCAGCGCCTCCAGAAGAGCGCTGACGTGATTGCTGGTAAGGGACGCTAAGGGACGCCCCGGGAGCTCCGGTTTGGTCAGCCTGGGGGCAAAGGGGCACTAGCAGAGTACTCACTTGTGTCTTTTCCCCACATGCTCCTCCCCAGGTGTAGTTTAGCTGCCTTTTTCCCCTCCAGATTAAGAAGAATAGGCAAGACAAAACAGGAGAATTGTTTTAGGGCAGCAGGGAATAGGATAGTGTGAATTATTTTTTGATGCTTGTGCAGAGAAAGTGCTAGTTGTTCATTGGTTTCGTTTTTCCTTTTTGTGCTAAATTTTTCCATTTCTTCATTCTCCCTAGGGGATGATGCTCAGTTTGAGATGGACATCTGACTGTCCTGCCAGGATCTGAAGAAAAGCAGCAACACTGATACTGTGTGTACCTGATTTGCCAATAGGATCAACGATGAAGAGACAGAAGAGGCAGTACCAGCAGTCCCTGTCGCACTCTCCACCTCCTCTCTTTCTCTGGGTGCCAAACATGGGAAGATGAGCTTCATCTGACCATTTCCTCTCCCTGTTTCCCATTCCCCTTCCCAGTTAGATTAGATTGCAAGCCCTTGTCTTATTTCTGTAGAACCAAGTGGCCCACAGAGGAAAACAGTTAAGCTTTGGCTTCTCTGGTCCTTTTTATACTGAGAAATCTCCCCTCCCCTGATTGTTTTTCAATCCCAAATCAAATAGCAGCTGACCTGAAGCTGCCTGGTTGGGAGGTCCGGGGACGGAAGACAGAGATTTGGTGGGTTCAGCTTTTTGTTCTTACTCTCTGGCTCCCCATCCTGTCTCCCACCATGGATCAGTGCCACCAGAGTGAGCTTGGGGTCTTCACAACCATTAGAGGGTAAACATTACCTTGAGATCTTTGTCCTCCGGGACAGAGCACAGTTTGTGCAGCTCCAGTAGCATTACCCTATGACACTGTATTGAGGTTCGCTTCCTCTGGGAAGAATGTCTTCTGTCTTTGGTATTGCAGTTCATCTTCCCATTCCTTTACTTAGCACATTTATACAAAATATTTTAACTCTACATTGGAAAGGAGTTCTCGTCTCCCATTCCTCCCACTTGCATCTGGTTGCTTAGGGTCGTCTTGGACGTTCTCTGTCCGGGTGATTTCATCTGCTCCCAGAGAAGGCCCATACCAAGTGGTGGAAGCACTTTGGGCACGGCCTGATCATGTTAGTATTCTGCCAGATGGTGCCCAGGGGTGCCCGCAGACAAGCGGTGAGCCAGTCCTTAGTAGTCAGTTTCTAAGCCAAGGAGCATTGTGATACTTGTTGTCTCAGAGTGCAGTGTGTTATATTTTGAGTTTAAAGTTGACTTTCAGAATGTCTGTGGAAAAGAACTGAACTTTTTCCCTTTGTGGACCTGCTTTGACTGCTGAAATAGATAAGCATCGGTTTAAAAATGTGTTCCTCCCACTTTTCTTGCCTTACCCATCGTACTCTGAATTTTCCCTTTCCTCCCGCTTTCCTTCCTTTTTCTCTATCAGGCCATTTTTCAAATATACATCAGAGATACCTCAATTGTTGGTATCTGATATCTGTCACTTCTCTTATATGAGGAGTGGCCTTTTATTTTTAAAATGACTACAGACCTATTTTTAGATATGTTTTCAGTACAAGTTTGAACAGCAACTTTTTAAATTAAACATCTTCCAGTGTTAGGAAGGTGACAGGTGTCTGTCGGTGAGTCTGCTGTTCTGTGTCACCATCCTTTGTCTCCTCCAGCCTTTTATGAGTGCTTTCCTTCTCCCTCTAGTTTTGGGTGTGCATGTTTGGAGTTTGTCCTGGGTGGTTTATAAATCTGGACCAGTCTGCCTGGCTGTGGGTTGTTCGTGAAAGCCTCGTTCTTTCCCTTCACCCTTCGCTTTTCCCTCCCCCTCCTCTCCACCCTGCTGTCCCGTGACTATTGAATGGCACAATAAACCCCAGAGAGTGACTCCCCTCAAGGAAGACTGACGTCTCTGTTCCCTCACAGAAGACAAAGTACCACTGGCGTCCCGGAAATTTCTGATTGGATTTGGTGTCCCGAACCCCTTTTGGAGATCAGTTCCAGGGTGAGCGTAATAGGCCAATTGACTCAGAAGGAAAACTGTTTGTTTTTCTTTTCAACTATGAAAAGACCCTGTTTGCAGATAGGTTTTAGAGGAGAGGAAGGATGTGTGAGGAACTTTGTTCTGTTTTCTGCAACAAAATGTGAATAGTTCAGAGTGAAACCTTTTGTGATGGTTGTTGTCTCAGGAATACGTTGCATCACCAATTTGGTGATACCTTTAGTCTCAAAAATTGATCAGAATGGTATTTTTTGTTTGTTTGTCTAATGTATCCCTGTTCTGATTTTAATTAAACTTCAAATTTCATTTTACATAGTCTTGGAAAACTTAAGCTGCACTATAATTTACACTAGAGGATTGTCAGGACCTTTTTGCCCCCTGGGGAGCTTAAGTCTTTGGAAATGGAGCCTTTCCTTCTTCATACCCTGACCCTGGCATCCTCTGGAACCCGAGCCCAACTGTAGGTAGTAGGCCTGTCAGCCAGCGGAAGAGCACCCCATCCCCTCTTGATCTTTAATGCTGCACATGAAAACATGGCTTCCTCACCGAACAAAGGGGAATGGAATTAAAACATGCCAGCTTGAGTGGTTTCAAGATGCCATTTCCCCCCTTTGCCATCTTGGGGAATCTGCGTGCCACCCCCTAATCAGAGGCCATGTTTTAGTATTTCTTAGGAGTGTCATCTGTAGCCTATAGTAATTGCCTGATCTCATAGCCTTCTCTTCAAGAACTTCCTCACTGCTTGGTGCAGTTCATTCCTGGAGGCCACTGCTACCTTGACCTCCCCAAATCAGTATTTATCACACAGCAACAGGTTAGCTGCCACCGATGATACCTTTGTGCCATGCTTCACAGAATGTTTTTGGGAGCAGCCAGAATTCAGTAGTTGGTTTGCTTCTGGATATTTGGAAGGCTCACAGATGAAGCTCTAAATAAATATTTTAATCCTGGTTTTTTTCTAGGGGAGGGAACACTCTTAGGGTACCATTTGAGTGAGATGATTCTTAAGATATTGACATTCATTTGTACCTTGCTTTTTATGAGTGGCTTCCCTGAGCTGAGTGACCGAGAGAGAGGGCAAGAAGGAATACGCATGCACTGCCTTTTATGACAGTCTCTGAAAGCACTGACTTTCACATTTACTTTTTCTTAGAAGCAAACCATGAAGCCCAGCAAATGCCCGAGGAGGGGAATTACATCCTACCCACTGAGCAGTATCAAAGAATTTGTGGCTATGTCTACCACACCCCAACAGAGGAGGAAATTAGGTTGACAGTGGTGGGTTTGAATCAGATCATAGATTTCCAGAGAGAAATTGCTACCAAAAGCAGGTCTCCAAGTCATGCATCACCAGACTGGCACAGAGTGCAGACTTTCTCTTTTCCCAAAGCCTGCTGGTTTGGAGAAGTGTTGAGAAATGGCAATTTTCAGGAGAACTAGGATATCCATATACCTCCTGACTACCAGCAGCCCAGAGATGTTTCTCTGCAATCTTGCTGTCTCAAGTCTTGATTACTACTTAGTTGCTATCTTCTTTAGCCAAGAAGTAACAAAGAAAGGAAATTGGATCCTTTTTAGTAGAATCACTAAAGCTGATTTAACTGGAGTCAGGATTGTCAAGCAAAGGGAGCAAATGTGAATTAGACATTAGGTTATTGGACTGAAGAAAAGTTAGCCGTTAAGATTTAGGGTGAAACAGATGATATCAGGAAACCAGGCCCCCAGCAGAGTTGGTGCTTGGTGTGGTCTCTGACCATACTAGTTCAAAGAAATGTGGGTTGCGTCGCTCACCCAAGAAACCACTTCTCAATAAAGTAGGTACCATCTGGGGATTAAAAATGTCTGCTGATGGTCCCTTTAAACCCAGTGTGCCAGTTAACTGTGTATCCCACCTCATCTTGGGCTTCCTGGTGGAAATTTTTCTTAGAGAATCAATGCTATCTTCACCTTTGAGTGAAACTTAGATGAGGCTCGTAAGTTCAACACATTCTTAGTGTCTGGTTTGTGTTTCTGGCACCCATGTCTGACCAAGCTTCTACATTTTGGCCATCTTAAGGATGCAAGTTCTTGTTTGGTCATGCTCTGCCTCTGTCTAGCACTTTCTTACATGTAGCCCTGCTTGTTTGGGAGTATACCAGAATAAGAAGCAATGTTGCTGGGGCAGCTGTAAGAAAAGGTACTTCCAGAAGTAAAAAAACTTTAAAATACCTTCAAATGAATTTTGATTTTCCTTCTGATTCTGAGGTAGAATCAAAATAGATGGTCGTTTACTTTTTGCTGCTCGGTTACTAGCTCTTCGGAAGACCTTACTTTCCTAGTTCAAATGTTTCCACTAGAATGCCACCTGCTAGGTGTGTGGGTTTCACCCCCAGAACCCATCAAGTGGCAATTGAGTGCCTGCTTGGAATCAAGGCAGCTGGTGTAAGGGGTTCATCTCACTGGCAGCAATATCCCAGAGACCAAATCTTTCTCCCCATCTTAGATACCTGATGGGGATTCGATTATCTTGACTAAAGCCAGCCCTCAGCCCTTTGCCTACCCCTTTTAGCAAGAAGGCCCCACTACTTCTGTCTGGTCCAAAACTTATCCTTGGTTTCTATCTGGACAGTGTGCATATGAGCAGCTATTTACTGATCTGTGAAACCCAATCACCCACCTGTGACTTGGAAGAGGGTAGTACTGCTAAAGAAGCTGTGTTTCTTTGGGAGTGCAGTTTCTGTCTGGAGTTAGAAGGGGGTATACTCTCTGCCTCCCCCAGTAAAAGATGAAATCAGACCTTAAGGCAGTTAGGTCACAATTCTTGAGAATGATTATTCCCAGGGAGCATTTGTTATTCTAGTGATGACTTTCCAGCTTGTTGTTGGGAGTTTCCTTGAAGCTAGAAATGTCTTACTGGAGGCTCTTAAGGATGATTATTGACACATACTCACTTCGCAAACATACGTTAACACCTTTTTCATCCTCTGGAATTTAAATCTCTATCTCTGGGCTGGTCCTGGAAGTTGATACCTTTTGGCAAAGTTTTAGATTTAGGAGACGTCTTGAGTCCCTGGTCTGTGGTTTCTCTGCTTAACCCCTGGCTGCAGCCCAGCCGAACATACCGTATGGTGGGTGCCCAGTGAAGAAATCCCAAGATGAAACACATTTCCCAGGGTATTTAAACTCGCTCTGCCACCTGTCTTGAGTGGGAGGCTGGTAGAGATGCTGCAATGCTTGATAATCATGTGGCCACTGAAATTTCCAAAGGGAGCTCTTGCCAGTGCTTAAAACCAAAATTCCTGGATACTTCAAACTTAAAGAATTCCATGATTCTAGCACAGAATATCCATTCTTGCTCTAGTGTCTCCCCTTCCTCTCCATCTTAATCTTAAAAAATGGAAACAAAACCCAGAGCCAAGGCCAAGGGTAATGTTTACTTGAAACCTGGAGAGCAGGGAGGCACACTGAGAGATGGGGCTAGTCGCTTGGGTGAGCCGTCCTGCTCCGGGTGTCTGTATCCAAATCCTGAGTACTGTGAGCCAGTGCCTTTCCTTCACCTGAAGATGGAGTCCATCTTTCCACCTGGGTGAGGAGACCCTCTGCTTTAAGGGTATGCCTTAAAGGTGTCTTGGAGAGCCCAGAGGACACATGTTCAGGTGTCCATTTTAAGCATCTGTAAAGTATTTTATATATATATTAAAAAAAATGCCCTTGTCTTAGTGCCACCAAAATGGCTCCATCCATTTCGAATGGAAAAGTGGGGACTACCAGTACTTTCCTTGGTCTTCCCTTCCTCTCCTTTAATGTGGTTCCCCCTTAGCTGTTTGTCGCTTCACCGTCGTGGACGGGTAGCAGAGGGTGCCGTGCAGCCCTGTGTGATTCCTTGACCGTTTTGTGTGTGTGTGTGTGTGACTGTCCTTCCATACCAGCAGGTCTTTGGAAATTAGGGGAAAATTAAATTCTCACCTACGGTTGCTGTTACAGTTAAATCAATAAAGATCTTGAATATCAACTTGGTGTTTTGTTTGATTTTGGAAAATTTCAGGTGAAGCCCTGTTGATTTCATTTTGGGATCTTGGCTGGTGAGGGACACAGGCAAAGGCAGTGGATTGCTTTAACTAACACTTAGGGAACACACCCTTTGTCCCTCTGACCCTGTGCAGGCAAAGAACTGGGTCCCTCTCACCTTGGAGGTGAACATGGACATGCCAGGCCCAAAAAGCCTCTAGGTACCAGGCTCCCAGCAACCTAACTGCAGCTTTAGCTTTTTCTGAAGAGCACCACCTTGGTCCTCTGGGAGCACCTACCAGAAATCCCTCCTATCTGACCCTGAAATGAGGCATACTGCATGCGTGGTGGCATTGGTTTCCTTACTATTAGTCTAATCACATCTTAGTGCTGAGAACAATGACAGGAATGCTGTCCTGTCATGTTTTATATGTTAACAGAGGTCGACAGAATAAAACTGAACTTGAGGTGCTTTCCCGTGAAGATAGCAGAGAGATTTAGGGCACAAGCCCTAGAGTAAGACGGGTTTGAAGTACAGCTGTGCTTACCAGCCACATGACTGCCAACAAGGTTCTGCATCTCTAATCCTGTTTCCTTCTCCACAAGACTGTTAAAAGTTTTCATCGGTTGTTGTGAGGCTAGGGGAAGGCCATGGAGAGCACTCAGGGGCCTGCTACATGTAGAGTTCAGTAAGGGACCTAATAGCCCAGTTGGTGTGGCACCCGTGTCCCTCAGTTGGGTCTCCTTTACCCTGAGAACGCAGATAGGAGATGGAGCAGGTTGGCCGACTTGCTATTGATGTGTGGGCCTCCAGCAGTCTCAAGCATCTCTCAGCCAAGTCATTTTGAAGGCACTCTAGAACATTTTTACTCAGCCCCAAAGGCAAGTAGGATAATAGCTCAAGGCAACAGGATAGGTGGGTAAGGCTGGTGCAAAGGCAGACTTTGCAACATGAAAATGGCCCTCGTGCTTTCAGTTGCCACCACTACATCACCTGTGATCCTGTTTGTGCTTTTATCTTGTCTTTATCTGACTGCCACTGTCTCTGGTGAATCCTCACCCCCTGCACCTCCGGCCTGCACCCCAGCTCTTGTATGCATAAATGCATACTTTTTTAAAATTAAAAAAAAAGCCTCACTAGCATCTTCTTACTGAGAGCACGTAGTGGCCAAAAGTCTATGGGAAAAGGGATGTACTGATTGTTTCTACTTTGTTTCTATGTATATGATGATGTCAACTCTCGGCTTGCTAAAAAAGTATAAATAAAGAAACTGCTGAGCCCCTCAGGAGAAGATACATTGCACCGCATCCAGTGTCTGTCTCCTCACTACCTCATCCCCTTCCCCTCAGCCCCTTTCGCCTAGGCCGTCTTTTCCTTTCAAGGACTTCTCACCCGACATTTTGCCGAAAGCTGGTCTGCGGCACTAGCACACAAGGGTCAGAGCATGGAGCTGTTGCTAGGCTCAGCCCCAGACACCTCTAGCCAGGCAGGATGACCCTGCTGCTGTCAAACCACACACTAAGCTTTCAGGGGGGTGGCAGAATGCCAAGGCAATGTCATGAGGTCTGTTCTGAGTAGAACTGTTAACTACATACACTCCCACCAGCTGTAGCCACAAATAACTTGACCTTTCCCTTTCCTGGCTTCGGCCATAGCAGAGCAGTGGGGCACCTATTGAGCAAAGAAGATGCTCTAAAGCCCTAGGATGGGATTTTCACTCCCAAGAACTTCAGTTTGGTAATTGACTTGGGATTCAAATATATGGTTCCAAAAACGAATCCAATGCTCTTGAGCAAAACCTGGCTCCTGGGGCCAGAGCTCAGCTCATTCCTAACTGTGTGGGCCATTCACTAGACCGCTCAGGTCTCAGAGAAGAGGCAGGGACTAAAGCTGACCTCACAAGAACTCGATTTTTTCTTTTTTAAGATTTATTTTTATTTATACAAGAACTGGGGTATAGGTCAGAGGCACAGAAGGGTGAGAGAATGCACCAGAGACAGAGCGGGGAACAGAACAGGCAGACTGACTGAAATACACTGCTGAGGGGAGCAGCGGGCGAGGCAGGAGAGAACTGCTGCACCATGTGGGTATCTCCCTGGCTGGCTGGGAATTGAACTGGTGCTGCAGAGCTGCGGACAGCTTCACAGTGCGGCGCTCAACCCGCTGCGCCACCGGGGAGGTCCCTCAATTCTGTTTTCTAAGTGTCACATGCAGGATCCTACTGTGATTTTGAATTGTGGCAAGGGCAGATCTACTTCCACTCCAGGAAATAAGCAGCGAGATCAGCTCTGTTGCTGAATCAGGGCAATTGAGGTTTGTCAAGCCCAGACCTGACTCTGGCCTAGCCAAACGCTGCCTGGACTAGGATCACTACCTTGACTCAACCAACGCTGCAGTTGAGTCACATCTCACAGAGGTTCCCACACGATGAGAATCATTTTCCTAAGCCTGGAGCACAAGTCAGCAGGTTTCTTGGGAAGAAGAGTAGGGGATATATTCATTGTGAACTTACATTACCAACAAATGGCAACAAGTGGCCTCTTTGCCCTGCCTAACAAACAAATGAAAAAAATAGTCCCTGCTTTTTTAAAGCTCAACACAGTCAGCTGCCTTTCAGGTCTGTTCAGTCAGAAGTCTTGTGTTGTTTTGGGGGATAGAGCTTCCTATAATTAAGTCTCGATTCCTTTTGCTGTGTTGGAAAATGGAGCCTGACATTAAGGCCGCCTCAGAATCCTGAGCAAAAGAAGAGCTGATACAGGTGAAAGTGGCCTGGCAGGGCCTGGGCTAAACAGGGTTCATGAATTGAGAGGGGGCCAGCCTGTGGTTTAAAGCTCTTGGTTTTGGGGCCTCTCTGGTGGCTTAGGGGTTAAAGACAGCACTATCAAGCTATCACCAGCCACTACAGCACGAGTTCGATTCCCAGATAGCCAGGGAGCTGACCACATGGCACAGCAGACCTCTCCTGCCTTGCTGCTCTCCCCTCAGCAGTTGTATTTCAGTAGATCTCTCTGTTCTGTTCTCCACTCTGTCTCTGGTGAATCCTCTCACCCCCACACCTCTGGCCTGCACCCCAGTTCTTGTATGCATAAATAAGTAAATCTTCAAAAGCAAGCAAGCAAGCTCATGGTTCTTCTGGGCCTGCTAATGGCCATTTGCATTTACCTTCTTGCATCTAATGGGAGGAGGCTGAGCAGTGAATTACCTGAGATCACACAGCTTCTTAGAGACTGAGAAGTCTTCAATGAGGACAGGGCCCTTCCCCTTGTGACAGGAAACTCAGGGGCCTCATTAATAGCACACAGTGAAACTGAGGTGAACTGTCAGCAACTTTAATAGACTCGATCATGTCTACTCAAGCAGACTGACTCAGGGATGTCTGAGGGCTCCAGTTCTGCAGACCAATGTGGTCACTTCTCTTGGACGTGTTCCTGCTTCTTCCTTCAGAGGCACCAGCTGGCCTAGGAGGACTGTACAATGGCTTTATTGTTTGTGCAACTCATTAGCAGAGCCCCACTCCAGGGAATCTCTGGACAAGGCCAACAGATTGTCACTGGCCAGCCAAAAAGATGAGTGGGGGCTCCCCTATGCCAGCCTGTGGCAACAAGAGCCAACAGACTGTTCTTAATTTAACACAGTAATTTAATATTTGGGAGAGGGGATTGAAGACTAACTTCAAGAATACATAAACATTATATGTAAATTGTCCCAACTCAAAAATAAATGCACATAACCTCCAATCTCTGCAGGCAATTTCTGGGAATTCAGGTAAAGAGACTCTTGCTCTAGTGCATTTACCCACCTCTGTTCACTAAAGAGAAAACCCAGCAGGCCCGCTTCCCTGGCGTCCTCCTGCCTCCCCTGACAGTGGCCTCTGTTTTCAGTTGGATTCCAGAGCCTTCATTTGCAGGGTGGGCAACCTTTCCTCCTCAGGTCTCATGGATAGAGCAACTTTGCCCCTCTTTATTTCTCTTCTTTGGATTAGATGGTTATTTTAGCTTCCAGGGGCTTCCCAACTTTCCAGGATACAGGCAGATCCAGCCTCCTCCAGGAGCTCCTCAAAGACACCCACATTCTTCCACAATCATGTCTTTATGATGGTCTAGAAGGACTCTGCCATTGTCCACGTACAGCATGCTCAAAGGCTTGGTCTTCACTGGAGCACAGCAGGTAGAAGGGACTCGGTGGGGCTGGTACCGTTTCAGTAGACTCTGAAAGAAGGGGAGTGGGGTCAATTCACATCCCAATGGTCAGGTCAGAATGTATAATTTCTGGGAAAAGGGTGAAACAGTTAATAGAGAGTTCAAATTGGTTTCTAGGTGCAAAAATAGAAAATTATTTTCATAAAGGAACCAGCATGCTAATCATCAACTCTAGTCTAAAATAATGTCTATTGTTTTTTTTTTTTATCAACAGCTTTAACAAGATTTTAAAAGCTTTATCTGGGCAAAACAATAACTATTTTATATGTTCTCCTATTATTTTAGCCTGGAGGGAATATCAGTTTAGAAAGTATTCCAAGAAACCCCTGGTTTAGGTCCAGAAATATGAAACAGAAGAGAGTCATGTGCAAATTCTTGTGGCATTTGCCTTGTTGCCCAGAGAAGGACAAACAGAGTCAACGGGAGAAAAGGTAGCAACCCCTTGGCATTCTGGAACCAGGCCCACTCCCTGTGGTCCCACGAGGTCTTTTCAGATCAGAGTGTCAAGAGTTGGTGATTGAGACACCCGGGTTTCTGGTTCACACTCCAGTTAGGTCAGTGGAGTGAAATGGGACCCAGCAGTAGAGCTGGGGAGATTCGGGGGCCTTTGTCCAGGACTTAGTACCTCCCTGGCATGAGCTCAGCTCATATGCTCTCCAGAGCCTCTGAACCCTGCCTGAGGCCCAGCATAGAGAATGCACAAAGCTCCATGAGATCCCCAGTCTGAGCTCTATGGAGTAAAATAGAAACACTTTGGTCCTATATAACCTTTGAGAGCAGGGCAGGGCCTCCTTATAAAAGCAGGGCCCCCACATTAGACTCCGTTCCCGCTTTTTCTTTCTCATTCTCCTTCTGTTCCTCTCTTTCTACCACCTCTTCCACCTTCTAGATTAGGCTAATGAGCAGTCTCATAAACTCCTGCATAATGGGTGCCCAGCTTCAGTTTCAGGCAGCAAAAGTACAGTGGTTAGAACAGTATTATCCCAACCGTAGCCCCATCAACTACAAGTATGGGACTTCTAATAATGACCATGCATCACTAAACATGCCCATTTAATGCCAACTACTGTGCATGCAATATGCATGTCATCTCACTCAACTATACAACATCCCTATGAAATATACATTATCCCCATTTTACAGGTGGCAATACTGAAACTCCAAGAGAGTAAGCAACTTGCTTACCATGGCATAGCTAACAGGTAAGAATCAAAGTCTGGCCTGCCTTTCCCCAAACTCCTTTCCCAGAACATCAGGGCTGGAGAGGAGCTGACACCCTCTAGCCTACACCTTCTGCCCCTTATTTTATAAAAGACAAGGAAAATATCCCAGGAAAGCAAAGTGTACAAGGCTGCCAGCAGGGCATGGCTCATGTAGACTCTCTGAGGATGCTGTCATCTCTGTCCTTAGGATCCAGCACAGGACCTGGCACCTTGCACAGGCTTGAACTGAATGAACAAATACAGTAAGTTCAGAGCAAGGCAGAGTCCTGAGCCCGTTCCACCCCCATGCCTTGGAGCACACCTGGATATATGCGTGGTTGGTTGGATGAAATTCCTCTCCCACAGGATTAGGACATTCACCTTCGCAGCGATAGGCATTGTACTGTTTGGGGTAGATGATCCAGGAGCCCCACCCAATCAGGTTGAAGTCCACCTGGAACTTGACCTTCCGACACAGCTGGCTTCTGTCGGGTAAGTGATGTCGGCGGTGCCTCCTGTCCCTCTCCCGGGAGAGCTGTCCCTCCTGGACCCGCCAGGAGCTCTCAGCCTCCCACAGCAAGGTGGAGCCCCCCAGCCGCCTCTGCTCTGGTGAGAGATTGGAGTAGAGCATGAGGACTGCGTCGGTGACAGGCGGCGTGGGGGGCCGCCTCCAACACGCTCCCCCTCTCCCGGACATCTGCTCTTCCAGCTCCCTAGGGTGCTTCAGCCACTTGGAGAGTGGCCTGGTCACCTCCAGGACCATGCTGCCCGAGGAAAAGGTGACCTGGGACAGAGTGACAGTAAACAGGTCCATCTGAAGACGCTCCAGGCAGCCGGCTGGGTCCTGCTCCTCGGCCAGCTTTGGCTGGTGGAAAATCTTAATGGACAGCGGGATGTCGGGGGCGAGGTACGCAGGGCCGGACAGCTGCAGCCGGAGCTCAGCCCATGCCAGGTCCTCTTCTTGGCTCAGGAAGGAGAAGTCAAAAGCAAAGGTCCAGTTCTGCCCATCCACCTCCATATCTGGGTGGGAGAAACCAGGAAGGAAGCAGGGTGAATGGGGACCTCCCTCAGCCCCAGTCAGCATAAGGACAACCACAGCTCATGCTCCAGCCCCCACCTCACACGAGTCACCTCTTAGGCCTCACCCAGAGTTGGGTGTGTTTACTGAGTCCATTTTAGAGATGAGGAAAATTGAGGGTCAGAGGATTAAAGAACTGTCTGAGCTGTCATTCTTAGAAGGTGGAAGAGCCAAGAATAAACCTGGATTTGCCCAACTGCAAAGCCCAAACTGCTCTTCTATCTTCCCCACCAAGATACTCTGCAGGTGAGAAAACTGGAGAGAGGTCTGGATGAGCCTGTCTCTCACACAGGTAGTCTAAGACCAAGCTCTGGGCTTTCTGACCTAAACCCGGGACTTCTCCTCACTCTGTGACCCTGGAGCAAGTCACCATCCTAGGCCCTGTTTTCTTATTGGGAAGAGGGTGTGTTTCACAAGCAAAAGTAAGTTGGCAGGCATACCATGCAAAGGCCCTGGCTCAGGAAGGTATGGGCAGCAGAAGCTAGAGTGGCCACCCCCTCCCCAGCCAGTTCTTAAAAAGGAAACAGAAACCTCAGGTGTTTTTGGCAACCTCACAAATAGGCTTCTAAGCAGACTTTGCAACAACCTTGCAGTTTGCACCCAAGGATCCTTCCTGTTCACCTGCAGGGCACTCACCTCCTAGGCCCAGGGTCAGCCACACTTTTGGTACAAACACAGCAAATACTCCAAGGCACCCCCCGACCCACTCTCTACCCCAGTGACTTCACCCAAACTGGATAAAGGGCGTGGGGAAGCATTCCATTTATTTCAGTCCTGGGCCAATTTGGTCTGATGTCTGGGGATAGCACCTATATGTGGAGTTTCAGTCATTTATAAGTGATCTTTAACTTTTTTTCAAGCTCAACTTTCTCTTTACCATGGGAATAGTGATGCCCTACCTATCTCTGCGTTATCGGGAGGACGTGGGGGAAACAAAGCTTTGAAGGTTCATTTACTAAATATAAGTCAGGAGTCATTCATTAGATACAAAAAGAGGGAGTTTGTCACCCTTTTGGGAATAGATTCAGAGCTGGTGATGATCTCCAATTTAGGTCCCTTGGGCAGACTACATACATAACACTTTATTTTTTTATTGTCTTGGAGCATCTTTGGTCAGTCAGACAGTAAGTGAATTTCTCTGGTAAGTCCAGGCTGTATTTGAAGGGGTCATTTCCAGCTTCAGCCTCCTGGCAGCTTTTTCCAAGCCCTCTCCAGCTGCTCTTTTAATTTCCACTTCCCTCCTCATTAGCACCTGCAGGGGGCAATAACCGGCCTGGACTAGCAACTCCCCTAGAGGTGAGGGAGGAGGCAGACTTTACCATGACCCCTAGCAGCACCACCTGGCCCCCTGGGGATTAGGCAGGATGAGTAGCAACTCCTGGTCACCTGAATCAAGAGCTAAAAACATCTTGTCTCAAGTATAGGTACACCTTGGAGATTTTGTGAGTTTGCTTCCAACCACAGCAATAAAGTAAATATCACAATAAAACAAGTCATACGATTTTTGGGCTTTCCAATGCATATAAAAGTTATGTTTACACTATGCTGTATGTGGTCTATTAAGTTAGCAATAGCACTTTGTCTTAAACGAGGGCGTAAATGTTAATTTAACAACTCTATTACAGGGCTGCTCTGGTGGCACAAGGGGTTAGGCACTGCACTATGAGGCAATCTGCAGCCTCTGCAGCACGAGTTGGATCCCCTGCCGGCCAGGGAGCAACCCACATGGCACAGCAGACCTCTCCAGGCTCGCCCGCTGCTCCCCTCAGCAGTGTTCTTCGGTAAGTCTGCCTGTTCTGTTCCCCACTCTGTCTCTGGTGAATCCTCTCACTCCCCGCATCTCTAGCCTGTACCCCAGCTTTTCTATGCATGGATAGGTAAATCTTTAAAAAAATAAAATAAAATAAAAACTATTGCAAAAAATTGCTAACATCATCTGAGTCTTCAGTAAGTCATAATATTTTTGGTGGTGGAGAGTCTTGCAAAAAAACCAATTCTCTTCAAAGCACAATAAAAGGTCTGCCTGTATCCACAAATGGCCTTTTAATAGAAGGTGTTCCAGATCAAGGGTCGAGAGCCGGTTGGGAGCAGGGTCCCTGGTGTCTCCCGCAAAGGTTCAAATTCGGCCACTTGCTGTTTAACATTAGGCAGGTTGCTTTTCTTCTCTGGGCCTCAGTTATCTTTGAAAAAGTGAGAGGCTGACAGCATCCAACTCGCAGGGGTATTGTGATTTACTGAGATAATGCGTGTGAAGTGTCTTGCCCAGCACAACAAAGTCCAATAAACAATTGCTGTCATCAATCACCTCCTTATTATTGCCTAGGCCCAAAGTTGCAAATGAAAGGGTTCAGGCAGTGAGGGACCTGGATTAGGGGAGCAAAGACATGAGTTGCTGGAATGAGCAGCACAGAGGGAGGGGCAGGGAGGCTGCCGGTCAGCAGGAAGAGTCTGTGACTCCACCACCCGGCCCTCTGCCCAGGGCTTTCTGGGAGAAATCTGATCTCACTGGCCTCCTCACTGGGACAGTATGCTGAGAGGTTCTCTTAGATCTGGCTCTGGCTCATCTTAGAACAAGGGGTGCCTAAACTTTTGGGGGTCACTGATACCTGATGAAAGCTAAGAATGCTCCCCCCAGGAAAAAAATTCAGCTTCTACGTAAACAACAAAGGTGATTTTGAGAATGAGAAAGGGGCTCCTGGATCCCCCGGAGACCCGTCCATGAATACAGACGTGGCCACGCAGGTTCCAACGATAGCTTGACCAACTTCTAATTCCACAGAAGGAAGTGCTTGGTGTCATGCCCTTGCATTCCCTTCCCCTAAACAGGGAGTTAGGGCTAAGTTAGGGTTCGGGTCTCTATAGCAAAGGAGAGTGGGGAGTAGGACGGTGCCCACTCTACATTTTTATAAAGTAAAAGGGCAATTGCTTCTACTTTTGTACCGCTTTCCCCAGGTTAAGTGTTTTACAGTGTGGCTTTGTTAAATCCTCCCTGCCACCATCACCATTCTTCAGATGAGGACCCGGGAGGTTCACCGGGAAGGTGGTTAAACAGAGCAGAAGCAAACCCAACTTGGATAAACGCCAACACCCATTTCATGTCATCAGGGTGCAGCTTACAAAAATCTCAGAAGGGAAAGGAGGGCGTGGAGGTCATCCCTTCTCAGGGGAATCTCCTTCCAGGCAGGGCCCTCTCTCTCCATTTTTTTTTTTTTTTAAGTGAAACCAATTCACAACAATGTGAATGTACTTAATGTCATTGTGCATTTAAAAATGGGTAAAATGGCAAATTTTGTTATGTATATTTTACTACACATACACAAATGAGGCAGAAAGAAAGCCAATCCTCTATTTTACAAAAGAGGAAATTAGAGGAGTCAACTGATTGCCAGGGACACAAAGGGGAAGCAGGGTGAGGAACCAGAACTCAGTTTTCCAGACTCCTAGACTGTCCCATCCCTGCAAAACCTTCGGGAACTCTCTAGAAAATGGAGTGAACTGGAGAAAAGTGTCACTCTCTCCCCGACCCCCAGTTTTCTGGCACTCCAGTAATTTTCAAATTGCCGCACTCCTGGTGTCCCTAGACTGGCTGGTCCCCAGATGACCCTTCTGGAGAGGGTCACCAGCTGTCTGACCCCAGACATGGCAGGCCAGGTCACTAGAAGCCCCCACTCTCAGACCACTAGGGGCCAGCAGGAGGCCAGTGAGATCAGATTGTGGGATGTGGATTGCGCCCTAGGCCTGGGGAGGGCTGTCTGGCCCTGGCTGCAGAGGGAGGTGCAATGCTGCAGGGGTCTGCCCCCCAACCCAGGCACCAGGATGTGGATTGCACCGGGGACCGGGACTCTGCAGGAGAGGGGTCTAGGGGGAAGGGCACCCTCTGCTCAACACCCACCTGCTCACCTCTCCTGGTGCCAGAATTCCACGCCCTACCTCCCAGGTCACCACGGTCTTTGAAGGCGCCCCACACCCCACAAGGCCCTGAACGCGGTTTCATCTCGAACACTGACACATCCCCATTTCCGAGAATCCTATCTCTAATACTGGAACTCTGAATCCTCGTCCCTGACGTTCCCTGCTTGATAGCTGGTTTCAAAGCTCCCTCTCAGGCTGAGAGATACTGCCAAGGCCAGACCCACTCACTCTCAGGAATAGAAGATATTCGACAAGACAACATAATCGTAGGCAATAATAACCACCACATGGTGTCCCCATGACAAGTTTTGTGCTCAGCGTTTTATGTGCTGTCACCTAGCCCTTGTCACATCTCTTGAAGGAGGTTCCATTATCCCTATTCTGCAGATGCGCAAAGTGAGGCGCCCCGAGGTTAAGTATTCAGCAGTTTAACCAGACCTCACAGAAGTGGTGTCATCCCGCTCTCGGCGCGGCTGTGCCGCGCTCTACCCGCCCTCAACCGAGACTCACAACGCAGGGGGCTCTGCCCCGAACACTCCCGGACCCGCACCCCGAAAGCTGACAGACTCAAGCCCCAGATCGCGCCCTCAGAGCGCGCTGGCAGCCTCGACGGCGGACCTCCGCGCAGGGCCGCGGCGCCCGGGGTCCCCAGCTCACCTTGCGCCTGCAGGCTGCGGATGATGTCCGCCCGAGGCAGCGGGTCGCGGTAAAGGCTCAGCATATAAGCGAGAGGAGACGGCGAGGCGGGCAGCCCCCGCGTGTGTAGGTGTGTGGGGGCCACGGTCGCGGCGCCAGCCTGGAGCAGGGCGCACCAGGCGTGCAGGAGGAGGCTCGGCAGGCTGTGGGCGTGCATGACGGGCTGGCGGGGCCTGCAGGCGGCTCCTCCGCCCCTTTTATCCCGCGCCGTGGAAGCCGCCCCGCCCCCGTGCTTCCTCCCTGGTGGATGCTTTAGGATCTTATACTCCCCCCACCCACCCACCCCCACACACACAGACACTCGGGGGTGGTCTCTGGAGGGACCCCCTACTGGGGGCGGGGTAGAGCTGAGCCTGGTAGGGAGGAGAACCGCAAAGCTTAAGGGAGCTTTAGGTCCCGGGACAGGCTAATTTGTTGGTTGTGGGCACCCTGACACTCTGCTACTGTAGATACTGACTCTTTTTTTCTGAAACAGCAAGTTTGTGCTCATTCCCAGGTCAGAAACGTGGCTTCCTTGCTCTGCCTCTCCTGGGATCCCTACCCTTTCCTGTCCCTCCCGGTCCAAACTGTTCCAAACAGAGGTGGGGTTCTACAAGGAGCTGGTGGGGAGTGGGTGGGTCCAGGCGACTCTCAGGCAAGGTCTGGCCACGCACAGGTCTGGAAGTGCTTCTGCTCAGCCGCACCCTTGCAGCCTTCCCGGAGGCTATCTAGTTGGCCTCTGTGAGCACTCCTGGCCTAATCCTAGGCCTCCTCTCCAAAGCTAGCTCCTGGGAAGTTACTAGGTAGTTGTTAGAACTATGAAGGTGAGCGCCAGGTGAAGGCCCAAGGAGACATACTTCAAATACTGAAGTGTTCTCCCTGGACCACAGAGGGCAGGAATGACAGGGACAGAAGAAGGACTTCTCTATGGGCATGACAAGAGTCTAGCAGTGGCTGGAGTTCTGGCTTTGCCAACTGGTGGTCCAGGCTTCTGGGCCCCATGTGCAGAATGCCTGGGGTGGTGTCAGGCTCTCTTTTCAGGCACACATCACCCCAGTCATCTCAGGTACAGAGATGGGGCCCATGTCCTGCCCTGGCAGTTTCCACAGGAGACCAAGCTTTCAGTTCAAAATGTCTCACTTCCTTCTATTCAGGAACTGCATTCCTCATCTGCACAGGAGTGTGCCTTGCCTGGCCTCCCCTACAGGTGCATAGTCAGGTCCCAGCTGGAATTACCTTTAAAGAAATGTAAATCTCTGCCCCTTTTCAGACCCCAGCTGTTTTCCTCAACCCTAGAGGGTTCCACCCCCTGCCCCCACCCAATCCTACTCCCCAAGAGCTTTCCTAGCCCCAGACTAGCAGCTGGATAGCATTGGCTGAACTGCTTGCTATAGGCCAGCACATCTCAGCTGTTTTTCACGGGATGCCTCTAGATCCAAAGAACCCCAGGCTCAGCCCTGAGCAGGTATTAGGAAGTGGAAGGAGGCCCAGCAGGCTCAGCCAGCAACTCCAAACCTGTATCCAGGCCACCGTCCCTACCCATCCAACACATAGGAACCTCACCTCCCAGATACCTGGGTTGCAGACCCCCACAGGCCACAGGACCTGAGCACTCCATCACCCAGCTGACTACTAGTTCCTTCCAACTGGGGCGGTCTTGTTCACCATGCTTACCCCACAGTACATATCATAGTTGGGACCCAAAGAATCTTAGCCAAGTAAGTCAGTGAATGGATTATGTCTGGGCTTGCCTAGAGGTAAGTATCACCTGGGGTGTTTATTAACTAATAGTTCCTGAGTCCCAGTCCAGACCTTCAGAATTCAGGTTTTCAGAGGGAACTTGGTAATCTACATATTTAACAAGCACCCCAGGGATGCTTAGCAGACTACTTTGAGAAACTGGGTGGGCTAGAATTCTAGTTGCATTTTGGAACCCCCCTCCCAGCCTTCAGTTTCCTCATCTGCAACTCATGATCAGACAGTGATTCCATGCAGATTGAAGAAAAGGAAAGCAGGGCCTCCCTGGTGGTGCAAGGGTTGAGCACAGCACTATGAGGCTATTCCGCAGCCGCTGCAGCATGAGTTCAATCCCCGACCAGGAAGGTGACCCACATGGCGCAGCAGACCTCTCCTGTCTTGCCCGCTGCTCCCCTCAGCAGTGTATTTCAGTCAATCTGCCTGTTCTGTTCCCCACTCTGTCTCTGGTGAGTCCTCTCACCCCACCATCTCTGGTCTGTACTCTAGCTCTTGTATGCATAAATAAATAAATCTTTTTTAAAAAAGGAAAAAAAAGGAATGCAAAAATGCCTTGCGAGAGCCAATGTGTTTATAAGACCTTATGTATATGGGTATTATTATGGGTCTGTCGTCATCCAGCACACCCAGGCTGGGGACTTGCTGCTTTGGGGGGCCATACCTAGCCCTCTGCCACAGACCCATCCCCCTCCTTGTAGCAGATAGCCCCTGGCAAAGGAACTCTTACGCAGATTATGAACATGTAAGTAAAAAGCAATGCTAGATGGTGGCTAGTGCTGTGGGAGCCCCGACAAGAACATGGAAACAAAAAATAGTTAAGACAGACAGGGGAAAGGCAGACTCCTAAATAGATATGGGAATCAGCCTCTCAAAACCCAGATCTACCCATCAATAGGCATCCTAAAATCTCTGCAGTCCCTGGTTAAGTAGGACATTCAGCACAGAGCTGTTTTATTCCCCAAGATTGGACACGGGACAAAAAAGATGATATATCTACTATCCATATGGAACCAGAAGCTTCTTCAAATTAGAATAGTTTTATTCATTCTGTGTCCCTTGAACTGTGTGGCTTAGTAGGTACTCAATAAATGTTTCTGTTAAAATGCATGATAATAACCATAGCTAACATTTGCATGAGGCTAACAAATGCATCAGGCACTCGGTCAATCATTATATTGATTTTTATCATCGTTCCCATTTCAAGGAAGAAAATACAGGAGGAACAAGATAACTTGTGCAATGCCACATGCTCACAAGTGGAAACAGTCACTCCATGAAGCAGGTCTGTGCTACTGCTAGGTAAAACTACCCCATTTACTAAGACTTTAAAAAAACTCTCAAGTAAAAGTCTTGCCTTTCCCAGCCCCCAGGAGCTGCAGACAGAACTCACTCCTGATGTGTATTGGCGCAGAGCCTTGTGGGAGCCTGGACTTGCTCTTCCACCAGCTACAGAGGCCTTCATCAAAGTCCGTCCATCACGGACCTTTCTCCAGCTCTGACTTCCTGGAGGAACTCCTATCTCTGTCACCTCCTCAGGACAGAGGTCAGCAGTCATTCCTCTCATCCTAAGGACATTCTTTAGTCTAGGATTTGTTTCCGGCACAAAGGACCGGAAGTGCCCTCTTCCCAGGTGCATTAGGACACCTTGCTCCCTTTGCGCCAGACGAACTGACTGACAAATTACCTGGCCTGCGAGATAACCTTTGAGGACCATCCCAGCTGACTGCAGTGGGGGGGCTCAGAGTCCCTCCAAGTTCTCAAATGCTTTCCATCTGGCCTTTTGGACCCTCTGTGCATATGAGCTAAACCATGGTTTAGCACAGGGGCTCTGAAGTCAGGCATCCAGGAAACAGAACCTGCAGCCTTCTCTCTAACTCCTTGAACTTATTAGAACAGTCACTTGCTGTCCTGAAGCTGCCACTTCCTCAGCTGTAAAATGGAGATACATGGGATATCTGCTCTCGGCAGGAAGGCTGAAAGCAGTAACTGTGTGTAAAGACCTAGGGAATTGGTCATTTGATTATTCATTCACTGAGCAAAGTTTATCTGGTGAGTCTCTGGCAGGTTACTTCAGGGGCTTTATTCTAAGGGAGACAAGACAGGAAGGTGTCTCAATTCCGAGTATGTCTAATGAACGTTTGCATTTGCCATTGTGACACCACATATACGCTAGCCCACGTAAGCCTCTTCACCCCTCACCAAAGCTCTACAAGGTATGTAAAGCATTTCAGAAACAGGGAAACTGAGGGTCTCCCTGATGGCGCAAGGGGTTAAGCACAGCACCCTTTTCTAAGGAAAGCAATGTAGAGCAGTTAGTTGTCCCAACTCTCCCCAGTGATCACCAGCAGACTGTGAGCCCCCTAGAAGAAAGAGCAATTACTGACCCATTTGTCTATGAAGCCCCTATTGTATGCAGTGATCTTCAGTCTAAATGAATGAATCCAATTCTAAAAATAGTGGAGGTAGGTGTGAGCACAGGCTTCTTGCTTCTACCTTCAGTATTCGCCTGCCCTTCCTGTGACACCGCCCTCCCCAGTGCTGATCTTGGAGGCTGACACCCAGGCACCATCTCAGCATCTCTGCTGGGCACGCATGGCTCTCCCTGTGATGCGAGGATAGAAATCACAGCCCTTCCCCACTCTCCCTTTGGGCTCTAAATATGCTCTAGTTCCTTGGAAATACTTTCTCGTCTCCAAAGTTCAAAGCTGTTCTTCCTCTGAATGGAGCAATTTTGCCCCTTCATTCACACAGAACACTCCTACTTACCACATAGAACCCAGCTCAGGAACCTCCTCTTCCACGAAGACCTCTACCTATGGTCTCCCCCTCACTTCTCATACGGGCTCTGGCCCTAGTCATTGTTTATGTAAGGGCTGAGATCCTCTGTCGCCTGGAGCCTTCCATCAGCCAGCCTGGTGCTCACTTTGCTCTGTGCACTCTAGGGTGCGCAGCGAAGGGCCTGGCGCGCAGTGAACGGGCAGCCAGCCTTAGATGATAGCTGTGTTGTCTGCCCCTGGCAGATCTTTTGAAAGGTTTCTACTTAAATTGCCCACACTGAAATTTCTTAAAGATTTTGCATGCAACAGATTATTTGCATCACTTGAGAACTGGAAAGGTCTGGGCCCTCATTTAAATATGGCAAACATTCCCGACCAGGGAAGAGTAGCTGTTTCCTTAGGCAGGATCTGTTCCCCAGAGTGTAATTACAACACCTTTTTGGCCCTAGAGATGAATGAGTTTGAGACTTGTGTTACAGAATGGATGAAAGAGCTTCTGGAATCAGTTAGCAAAGACAGTTAGCAAAGATGGGAGATTTGGATTGGGTTCACCCTGTTGTCTTTTTCCACAGGAACTAACCCATGGATCGTGGGGCCATGGCTCAGGCTGGATGAGAACAAAATAGTGGATTATTTAATGAGCACTTACCATAATGC